TGAGCTAATACCACACATCTATCAGAATGGCTAAAATAAAAACTATTGGCAATACCAAATCCTAGTGAGGAAGTGGATCTCTCATAGTGGAACACAAAACGGTATGCAGCCACTCTGGAAGTCTGGTAGTTATTTTATGAAGTTAAATATAACCTTTACCATATAACTGATCAATCCCACTCTTGGCATATACCCTAGACAAATGAAAACTTATGTTGACATAAAAACCTATACACAAATGTTTGTAGCAGTTTTATTCAAAATCACCCCAAACTGGAAACAACCCAAATATCCTTCAATGGGTGAATGTTAAAAAACAAACTGTGGTACATCTGCACATTGGAACACTACTTAGCTATAAAAAACAACCTGAATGAATCTCAAAGACATACTAAAGAAGCCAGTCTCCAGAGATTACATCCTCTATGATGCTATGGATGTGACATTCTAGAAAAGGCAAATCTTCAGGAATGGAGAACAGATTGGTGTGTGCCAGAGGCTTGAGTGGAGCAAAGGTTTGACAACAAAGAGGTGGCATCAGATAATTTTTTGGGTGATGGAACTGCTGTGTTCTAACTGCAGAGGTAGTTACACAAATGTGTTAAAACAGAACTGTACATACAAAAAAGTTAATTTTATGGTATATTAATTCAAAGTTTTTAAAAATGAAGATAAAACATGTCCCAATCAATTTCTTTTTAAGAAGGCTATAGAAGAAATTTCCCACTTGGGTTTATTCCAGAAAGTCTGCTTTGTGGGGGCTCTGCCACACCAGCCCTGGTGTTTGGGGGTCTGTTTATTCGCCTATAAAACGAGAAGTCAGTCTACAGCAGTGATTTTCCTTCTCCCCCACACTCTAAAATTGTACCCTTGGGCATGCCCGTCATGGAAGTGGGGGTGGGGTAGAAGGCATTTGGCTTCCACTGGACTCGACCCACAGAGAAGTTGTGCTTTTGTCTCCTATATTGTTCATTTGAAAACCTCTGGATTAGAATTGCTGGTCTTGAGTCAGATCCTCAGGTCCTTGGGAGGTTTGAACCATCATGGATTTCAGGGTCTATAGGTTGGGCCCACTCATTTGTCCCTTTGTCATGTGCCCTCATAGACCCAGGTGGTTAGCCAGACCAGGGCACTGGCTTTAGTGGTCAGCAATCTAAACAAGGCCTTTGTGGGGAATCTGGAAGAGTTCTCCTTGCTTTAGGAC